GAGTTTGCAGAAAGGCTGGCGTGTTCAGACACTGCGGGACAGCTCACGATGAGTCATAACATAAACACTTACAATAATGTCTGCCTTCCATCTTCATACTTTTCTCTTCTCAGCTGAAATCCTAGCAGGGAGAAAAAATCAATAGCAGGGAGGGTGTCCTGTGTCACCTTCTCGCCTCCCCAGCACCAGGCACCACACAGACCAGCTCCTTCACCCAATGCCCCGTGCTTCCAGGGAAGGGGGTCTAGGGGCAGAAAATGAGGAGCAGGGAGAAGCTTAGAGAGAAACAAATCAATAGGCAAAGGAAGATCTCAGAGACATTGACAAGAGAAGGAATTTAAGGGGAGAAGACGCAGCGAGTGGGAAGTTGTGAGTGTGAGGGGCGAAATGAGAGAAGCAATTATACAACAATTTAGGGGTTGACAGCACAGTTTGTAGAGACACATAGATAGATCTAACTCGAATCCACCTCGTAACACTTACAGCAGGTTCACAAGCCCTTACCCACAATTCCAAAAATCCAAAACACCAAACCAAAGGCGCTTTTGTAATTTTTGTTGGAAGCTTATTTGGAGGCAAAGCCTGCCCTGGGTTGATGTGAGAGTATTTATAGCTTGTGTTTACTCCACTCGGTGTAAATACACTATGGAAATCTTCATGGGTCTGACACTTCCTATCCGGACCGTGAGTAGGGTTACGCAATGTTTGTACCACATTGACTCTGTGAAGTCTTAGAGGGCAAACACACACGCAGATTTCTCATGAGTTCAAATAAATTGGCTCTGAAGGACTCACTCCTAGGAAAACACAAACGTCCTCAGCTCATCTGATAGGAAATTTTTTAAAAAGGATAATTTCTCAAAGAAATGGAATCGATCATTTCAAAATGATCAACAACAACAACAAGAGTGCTCTTCATTGTTTCATGAAAAGCCTACTAAGTATTTAAACAAGAATTACTACTAATTCTACAAAATCTCTTCCAGAAAATAAAACCCTTCGCAACGAAGGAAGAGAGAAGCTGAAGCGTCCTCAACTTGGATAAAAGCAGCTAACATTAGACGAAGGGTGACAGGCTGGGTGCTTGCCCATTAAGACCGAGGACAACACAGGATGATCTTTCTCATATTCTTATTCAATGTAATGCTAAAGTTCTAGCAAATATAACAAAGAATAAGAGGCACACGGGTTGGGAAGGAAGTAATGCAACTATCTATTTGCACGTGACATGACTGTCTACGTAAAAAGTTCTCAGAAATTTACAAAACCAACCAGCAAGAAAACAAAAACACAAGCCCCCTTCTAGAACTAGCAAGTGGATTCGACAGGGTCACAGATAAACCTACAAAACTCAGCTGTTCTTCTGTAAATTAGTAGTGAATTTCTGGGCATTAAGATAAAAAGTACAATGCTATTTATCATTTCTAAAAAAAGTTCCAAATATATTTAAAAATATCATTTACCTTATTTTATTATTTGCAGAACTTGTGGAGATGCTCCCACTTTCATTTCTTTTAACAAATTTTATTAAATTTTTATTGGGGGCTCTCACATCTCCCATCACAGTCCATATAATCATCCATTGTGTCAAGCACATTTGTACATATGCTGCCATCATCATTTTCAAAGCATTTTCTTTCTGCTTGGGCCCTTGTTATCAGCTCCTCATTTTCCCCTCACTCCCCCACCCTCCTTCCGTCATGGACCCTTGGTAAGTTACAGGTTATTATTTTCATATCCTACAAGGATCAACATATAACCCCCTCCCAGGGGAACGAACAACAGAAAAGTGAGTGAAGGGTGAAAAAGTTCTAAATATTTAAGTGAAACTCTAGCAAAACATATACAGTGAACCCTCGCCACTACGCACTTCGACTTCCGCGGCTTCACTCTATCACGGTTTTTGCGTAACAGCGTATGCTCTGTCATTACTGCCACTGATTGGCTCATACTGTACACGCTTCTGTCTGCATCGCTACGTATCGGAGCTATGTATCAGATGCATTTTTGCTTTTGTACAGTGTACTGTAATTGTTTGCGATTTTTAAGAAATTTTATCTAAGCCCTATGATGGCTCCTAAACGAGCTGCTTCTTCTAAGCCTTCTGACAATAAAAATAAGCGCCAGAGGAAGATGCTCACCATCCAGGAAGAGGTAAAACTTTTGGATATAAGGAATCCTACTTCGCGGAATTTCATTTATCACGGTAGGGTCTAGAACCGATTAACCGCGATAAATGAGGGTTCACTGTACAGGGCTTGTGTGATTAAAAACTGTACAATACTGATAAAAGAAATCAAATGCTAGCTAGATAAATGGAGAGACATACCATTTTCATGGATTAGGAGTCTCAAAATAAAATTGATTTCAATTATCCTAAATTAATCTGTAGGTTTTCATAGTTCTAGACACGATTATTCTTAAGTCCACAAAGAAAGGGTTAAAAAAAACCCCACTAGAATAGCTAAACAATTTTGAGAAGAAAAATAGTAATCAGTAGGAGAAAGCCTTTCTGCCCAATTTCATCATGTGGGGCTTCTTTCAAGGGGATTGAAAGGCAACGGACTTTCCCCATGAACTTTTGAAACCTCCTTGTATCAAGACTCTGTGGTATTGGCAGAGAGGTAGGACCATAGACCAAGGGAACAGAACTGTGACGCCAGCAATGGATGCACACAAACCCGCCAGCCGGGCTGTGCCAGGAGTGAAAGCAAGCAAGGGGGAAAGATTAGCCTTTTCAACAAGTGACGATGGAGCAATCTGCTGTCCACTGGGCAGAAAAGGAATATATTTCAGGCTAAGTCTCACACCTGAAACAAAAGTTGACTCAAAATGAACCATGGGATGGGACGTGAAATATAACAATGTGAAGAGGGTAAAATAAATAAATAAACCGAAGAGAAAATGTGGAGATCTTGCTCTGGGAGGAGTTCATAGACTTCACACCAATAGCACGATCCATGGCAAATGAGCACATGGAAAAAAGAAAGCATTGGCCACTAAGGAATTGTCGATGGTGCATTAAGGAATATGTATAAGAAACCCCAAACTCCCTGCCATCGAGCCAGTGCTGACTCAGAGTGAGCCCCTGCGAGTTTCTGGGACTGTAGCTGTTTACAGGAGTCGAAAGGCCGGTCCTTCTCCTGAGGCGTTGCCGATGGGTTTGAGCTGCTGACCATGCAGACTGCAGCCCAAAGTGCAAGCACTACACTACGAGGGCTCCTGCCAGGACTGGATACAGCGGTGCACAACTGCCCCGATGGCTAAACTTCAAAAGAGTGTCAACCCCACTTCCTGATAAGGATGCAGAGAAACCAAATCACCCACATATTGCTAGCAGGGCTATAAAATGACAACAGAAAAGTGGGTGAAGGGAGACGTCGGACAGGGCAAGATATGACAAAATAATAATTGATAAATTATCAAGAGCTCATGAGGGAGGGGGGAGCGGGGAGGGAGGGGAAAAATGAGGAGCTGATGCCAGGGGCTTAAGTGGAGAGGAAATGTTTTGAGAATGATGAGGGCAATGAATGTATAAATGCGCTTTACACAATTGATGTGTGTATGAATTGTGAGAAGAGTTGTATGAGCCCCTAATAAAATGATTTAAAAAACAACAACAGTCACTCTGGACAGCAGTTTGTCACTTTCTCGAGACAGCTATTATGTGATCCAGCCATTGTCTGCCTGTGCAGCCATCTCAGAGAAAGGAGGACTAACATTCGCACAGAAGCCTGTCCACAAATGTTTGTAGCCGATTCACCCGTAATCTAGGGTAGAAAGAGAAATGTCTTCGATTTGTTTTAGCTACTCCAAAAGATAAACAGCCTGGGGTCCTTCAACACGTGAACATTACATAAATAGTACCTCCATACCATGAGCAACTATTCTGTGATAAAAAGCAAATACCTATTCAGTCCCAAAGGATTACAGACTGTATGATTCAATGACAGAAATTGAGACCAGACCAAGGGATTGAGGAAAGGGCTGGGGCTGGAGTCCGCAGAGGAGGCTAGACAGCGCAACACGATGAACCCTTACGGTATGAAAAGGTTCTTTGATTGTTTATCTGTATTGATGCCAACGTGCCTGGTTGTGATAGCATGCTGTAGTTTTGCATGATGGGATCATTGCAGGAATTAAGGTAAAGTAGACTGTATTATTTCTTCCAATGGCATGCTGATCTCCCCTGGTCTTTTTTAAAGTTTAACTTTCTTGAAGGTAAAATGAATACTCGTGATCTCTCACTCAGTGGCAAGCCTCTGTTCAGCTGGATGGCAAGAATTAGAGAGCTCAGTCAATTGAGGGTCTCCCTATCGCACCTCATAGCTAAGTTTCCGGGGAATTAGCAAGGTGTCAAAGCTTGGACCTGTGTCATCGAGTCAGCCCCGAGTAGTTCCCTACACCTGCCAACTGAGGACACTACTGAAGTCCCTCTGTGCTCTGCGTTGTGTGTCCCTCTGGGCCACACAGGTAAGACTCCACTACTCCTTCCTCTCAGTGGGCCGGGCAGCCCTGAGAGCCATCTCAGACCCACTGGCAAGCGGGCTATAAGCCTTAGGGGGGAGGACTTGAGAGCTATGCCAGATTATGAGGGATCGGCGCTCCTTGGTTCTAAGATCTCTGAGGCTCTCAGTGGTCCTCAGTGTCCCCACCATCCCCCGGCTTGATCTGGACGCAGAGAAAGGACTTCTCAGGTACCTTTGCTGCCATTTAGGTTCTCCCCTCTCCCAGTTCCACGTTGCATCCAAACCCAGGGCAGCAAAGAGCCAAACATGAATGCATTCTTCCAAATATGTCCTCTTCAGCCTGGTCCTCGGTGTTCTGTTGAGTCATCCTTCCATGGAGGCACGAAGCCTAGCCTTCCCTGGCTGCCGTTCGAATCAGCCAGAAAGACAGGAAGTGGGGAGGAGAACCTGTCTGTCAACACATGACAATCTTATTCTCTGATATATTCTCCCTTCAGCCAGCTTTACCCTCCTCCTTGTCTATCCTTTCAGCTCGTGGCTCAGGTCCTAGAACACAAGGCTATAGGCTTTGTGATGGTGGATGCCAAGAAAGAAGCCAAGCTTGCCAAGAAACTAGGTAAGTGTGACTTTGAAAAGAAACAAAGGTCTCTGGCAAAGATTAAAAAAAAAAAAAAGTACAAGCACATGTATTCCCAGATAATAACGCGACTGTTTGTAAGAAACATATAAAATGATCATGCCTACCTCTCGCTCAGCTGGAATGAGTTTCATACAAATAAAGACAGGCCTGCGTGACACAGTTTCACATTAATCTTCTGAGGTGGTTTTGTATCCCTACCATGAGCAGCAACCTCCCAGAGAACGGAAGTGCTGTCACTAAAGAAGCACGCCTTTATTCCAGCAACACCAGCAAGTTCAAAGGCCAGCTTCCCTATTCTCCACCAGGATGGGGTCAGGACGAGTCTTCCATCACTTAGGATTTCTTTGTCTCCTGGCTGAAACAAGTCACAAAGGGCAGCTTTCCCAGTAGTAACGCTGGGCTCCAGTGGCTTCTCAGTAGAAGGCCAAGCCCCAGCTGGGCAGTGTCACCCAGGATGACAGGGAGGATTTAGCAGAGGAACGGTTAAGTGACTACACCGTGCAAGCTGTAATCTCTCGTGTCAACAGTTCATGCTTAAGTGCGAGTGCACTTTACGTTTCTCACACCTCTCAACCCACGGTCAGAGAACACAGGTAACCCCTCTGGGTTTCAAGCACCCCTACACGTGGACTGCCCATTGGCTTTTTTCCGCATGGCCAGCTAAGAAAACCCATTAAAAAATAGCAGGGGATTACCAAACAGGACCTTTGAAGAAAGGTTAATTGGATTTGAGTCGGAAGCCCCGGGCCAGAGAAGAACAGTAACATCAGAGGTGGTTCAGCTCTGTGAAAGTTTGTCATCTGAGAGAATTAGACACAACTGCTTTCTCTTTTATTTTTAAGAAGGCCAATATTTTAAAGCAGATTTAAATGACAGGAGTCTATATTTAGGTTAGAGACAAAGAAGAACTCATGACCCTAACATGATAATGGGTGATTATGAATGACTGGAGCACCTCTGTCCCTGGAGATAAATTAAGGAGTACCCCCCCCACCCGCCCCCTTGAGCAGGGAAGCAAAGTATGTTAAACCTGTGTCCTAGAGTCAACAGCAGCTTCATAAGTTCTGCCGGCTCCCCCCACAGCCTGTTGATTCTGTTGTCTTCTCCTTACCCTTGGCTTTCATGAGAAATTAAATTTGGGAGGCTTTCTAGTACAGTTAGAGGGAAAACTTGTTGCTGCAGTGCCTCACGAGGCTGGGGAGGAGAAGCTGGGAGAAGCCATCATAAGAAAGGACCAGCAAAGGAGCAATGGGGCTTTGTGTAGCTCAGCCCCCCTCGCTCTAAGCTGAGCCTGGAGCAACGCGGGGAGCATTCTTCCACCTATGGGATCCTTGGGGTTTACTGGACAGTGATTGCAATGAAGGAGCCTGCTCATTCACATCCATCCCTTCTCCATTTGCCTTAGGTTGACTCCCACCAGGCTCTGTCTGAATTACCAGCTTTTTAAGAAAATAATGCACATGAGGTGGTTTTTGAAGCATGCATTTCCCTAGCGCATTGGTTTCCTACAAGCGCTATGCGTGTTATGCACACACCATTTCAGTGGGCATGGGCAACAGAGTCCTGACTGGGTCCACTGAGAACAAATCCAAAAATCGGGCACTGGCCAATATGTCTTTTGAGATTCACCAGGACTGACTTCAAGCACAAGCGGGCTTGCTGCTCCTTCTGATTTACAATCAGGGCTGCCCGGTCTGCCCGGGGGGTCCTCAGAGTTGCCTTGGGGGCCAGCACGCCTGAGTCCAGCCTCCCATCCCCTGGAGGTTCTGCAGAAGACTTCGTTTGGAGAAGCATCCTCCAGCTAATAGAGACGGTGAAAACCATTACTCTAAGGAATTAGGATGTCAATGGCAGCCTCAGCTACTTAGCAGTCCTAGGGGGAAATGCTGTCTTCCAGCAGCATTTGTGGAAGTACACAGCATTACACCAAGAGCAAGGAGACGCAGGAACGGAGAAGGCATCCCTGCAGTGTTTACCAGAAAACTGGAAAAGAAGACACCCTGGATTGGGCTAGAACAGAAAAGCAAGGGATTCATTCTGCTCACAAACGCCTCTGGGGTGCCCCTGGTGCCCAGGCTCTATGCAAAAAACTTGCCTAACAGGAAGCTCATGGTCCTCCACTCGGAGACCTTTCTGCGGCTCTGTTAGGGTTGTGAATTTGGGTCCTTATACACATTCAGTGGTTTGGGCTCATTGCAACTCATGACAACGGGGTTGGAACCACAGGGCTTTGTTTGGCAGACTGGGGTAGAAATCAGCAGGGCTTCCTTCCAGGCTCACCTTAGTCTGGAAGCTCTGTGGAACCTATGGAAACAACAAAGCAATGCCTAGGCCTCTCCTGATGGAAGTGTGTCAACTGTGCTCAAGGTATCTTGGCCAGGATTTTAACCTGGATCATCTACATTGAAGGCGAGCATTCTACCACTGAACCACCATGCCCCCCTTTCTGTTACAGTAGACTTATTTAACTGAAGCCATAAAGGCAAAAGTCCAGGGATATTGGAGTGTCCTTATTTGGAAAAGGAATTCTTGCTGAAGTCTGAAGGAGCTATTGAGATGGGGTAGAGAGCAAGGAGGTACCTATAGCTTTAGGCACAGGGAGAACATGGGCATAAAGGAATCATATCATCCTCTGGGACATTTCCTTTTCTAGCCCCTACATATCACCATGTGTACAAGTAACAAAGGGAGTGGCATGAGGGATTAAGAGAGCATTTCTCAAAGGAGAGCAGGTCTACCCATGGAAGGATGCAAGACATGAGGTTGGCACTAAGTTGTGGAGGGACTTGACTGTCGGGTTCAGGTTTCAGAGTCAGGTGGGCAATGGAATCATTAACCCTTTTTAATAAGGAGCAGAGCATGGGGTCAACAGTGTTTGGGGAACAATTCCAAGCAGTGGTGGGATAGAGAAGTGTAGGTGTTGCCTAACGAGAATTTGGATTGGTTCTTGACAATTCCAAATTCAATTTCCAATCCGACGCTCTTCGGTGCTGGTGTTTCCAAGGAACTTGTCCTTGGGTTTCATGTTGGTCCCCCTGATCCTGACCCCACTGTCACAGGAGACCCAGAGCCAGACTCGAATAACACAACCGTTCCTGTTACATCGGGTTGACCTTTCCCTGGATCTCTTGGTTTCTTGCAGGCTTTGAAGAGGAAGGAAGCCTGTATGTTCTTAAGGGCGATCGCACAATTGAGTTTGATGGCGAGTTTGCAGCTGATGTCTTGGTGGAATTTCTCTTGGATGTAAGTATATGCGCTCAGTGGCCCTGGGTGAAGCTCTCTGGACTCTAATACAGCGGGGAGGTGAAACCCCTGCTTAAGTAAGAACAGAAACTGGAGAACCAGACCTGGGCTAAGGAAGAGCTCACAGTCTTCCCACAAAAACAAAACCAGAAATTCCAGCATCAGAGTGGTGTTTACTTCTCCCAGGAATTGGGCCCTGAAGTCACCTTGGAAACTGTTTTATTAGTGAACAGAGGTCACAAGTCAGGAGGACTGTGGAGTAATACCATGCTAATTCTTTTACCAGTGATATAATGACATCTACAGAAATGCTCTTGGCTTTATTCCAGTACTGCTAAAGAGAGCTGGTGAGTGTGGGAAAGAGATTTGGAGATAGGCTAGGGAGACCAGTAACAATGAGCTAAATTCTTCTGAGCTACCCCCCGAGTTGAATAAAGAGGAGGCTGGGCTCCAGAGACACCCACTGTCTTATTTACGCTCAGTCTTGAAGGTAAACACACAACATGTAATCCATATGCTATGACAGAGAGACCAATAGTCTGAAGATACTCTCTCCACAGCTACACTCATGCTTCGAGTAAGAGCCATGAAACGAAATGTTTGTGAACGCAGATCCCTGTACAGAGCAAGAACCTATGCTTAAACATCCGTATTGATTATTACTATTGGCCAGCTGGTACCCCGTGGTCTATTGCTTTTCTCCAGAATCCTCCAAACCTAAGGAGAGGATCAGAAGTGAGTTGAAGGCCATCTGCTACATCAAAGTGCCTATAGACCTTGCTTCACTATCTCATTGACCCATCATCCAAGTCCAAAAAACCACGGTAGATCTGGATATAGTACTGTCCCAGTTTTAACAATTCAGAGGGTGATTTGTAAATGCAAGCAACAACACCCAGATCTAACGACCTTAAGCAATGAGCAGTATAATTGACCAATACAAATGGAAAACCAAAGTTAGGTCAGATTTTTTATTTCATCAGGGCTCCCGCTCCATCTGCCTTTGTATCCACGATAATGCCGTTTTCTGTGGGTGCCTTTGTGCTCAATCTCCTAACAAAGTGGCCAGCAGAAGCTGCTTCCTACTCACACAATAATAAAAAATTTCCCAAAAGCCTTTGGCAAATCTAACCTAAAATATCATTAGCCAGAATTGGGTCAATGTCCCTTCTTGAATGAATAGGCAAGAGGAATAGAATTGCCCATAGACCACCTCTTGCGTTAAGACCATTTCCTCAAAAGGCACTGTTGATGCTGCTCATTTGGGAAGGGGTAGGATGGGTATTGAGGTGCCGAGCACAAAGTTCATTAAAATGTCACATTGAAGCATACTATCTGTGTGCCTGATTTCCCTGATGGAGAAAGAATGGCTTTTTTAATTTGGATGTGCCCGTGTCTGTGACCTTGCAGCTTATTGAAGACCCAGTGGAGATCATCAGTAGCAAATTGGAAGTCCAAGCCTTTGAACGCATTGAGGACCAGATTAAACTTATTGGCTTTTTCAAGAGTGAGGACTCAGAATGTAAGTTGTGTGTCCACCCCAGCCTGCCAGCCTGAAGGCCAGATTCCCAACAGAGAGGTTCCCTTAGGAGGATGCATCATCAGCATCACCTGCCCTTGAACAGTGAAACCAGTGTGCAAACAATTCACAAAACCTGCAAAAGAGCTTAAAGACCATGAAGGGTGAGCCAGGTTCTTTCACCTTGAAAGTGGGACCGTGGTTGTTTTACAGAGAGAGAAAATCTCCCCCTCCACTTTTTCCATTGGCCCACCTCCCAGTCAGATTCTATTCTAAAACTGGGGCGAACGGTGGGTCTTCTCTCGGACATTGGCCACTCTCATGGCCGCAAGCCGGAGTGCTTCTCAGTCCCTTGGAAAGCCCTGGAGGAACATCGGGGGAGGGGTGGGCTCCACAGCTGCTGCACACCATCTAAAATTGCTGACCAAGCCCACGGCTGACCACGGGGACTGCCTGCCCTGCCCCCGCCACTCCCTTCAACATGCTCCCTTTGCAAGCTTCGTGGTCAAGTTTTGGGCACACACAGAGAGCTCTCATTACATCACTGAAGCCCATAGTGGAATTGAGCAGATGGTAGCAGGAGAGAAGGGGGGCGAGGGGAGACCAGGAAGGAGGAGAGGACAATTTTCGAACTGCTTTGGTAGCAGGCTCAATGAGTCAGGCTTTTGCTGGTTCACTTAATCTCAGAGAACAGGAAAGTATCAGGAGGAGTGGTCACAACTATGAAAGAGTATCTGGTAACATTGGCTCATGTGGGAGGTACAAATAGGGGCTGCTTAGGACTATTTTTGGAAACCCTAAAATATTTTGAAAGTAGGCACACAGCTATTTCTTTCCCCCATCTGCCAACTGCATCCTTAGTCACCTTGTCAACAACAACCAACCCTTCTTCCTCTCTCAGGTCCCCAAGTGACCGTCTCGTCAGTTGCTTCATGAAGGCCACCATTCACTGCTGGAAACAAAAGTGTTGGTGAGAGGTGGCAAGTCAGGGAGTTTTGCCCCATTTCTCCTTAGGTGGCTTCAGTTTAATATACACGTTTCTGTGTAGGTGATGACTATGTGGGGGCATTTCTCCTGCATCCCTCTACTTTTCCCATTTGTCTTCATTTCTTTCAATTTCCCTTTAATGTCTTAACTCTCAGTTTGCTTCCTTTCCCGCCCTTCCGGTGCTCTCTTCTCCGCCATTAAGCATAGGATGGAAAATAAGGAGTGAAGCAAGGATACGATTCGATTAAGAGCACCCTTTCCAATTCCTTTCTTCTCCTGCCATAAACTAGTAATAATAAGAAGAAGAATGTTGCTTTTGCTGTTCACTGCCATCAAGTTGATTTTGACTCCCAGTCAATAGTCAATATAATGTCAATAACACTGTGCTCCATAGAGTTCTCAATAACCATTAAAAAAAAAAACTTTTATTGGGGGTTCTTACATCTCATATCACAATCCATATATTCCTCCAATGTGTCAAGCACATTTGCACATATGCCACCATCATCATTTTCAAAGAATTCTCTTCCCACTTGAACCCCTAATATCAGCTCCCTCTTTCTTCCCCCTTCTCCCCTGTCCTCCCTCCCTCACAAACCCTTGATAAGTTATAGATTATTATTTCTATATCATACATCCTTCTCCGTTGCCCCTCCCCAATTTTCTGTTATTTGTCCCACTGGGAGGGGGTACTAGTTTGATACTTGTGATTGATTCCCCCTTTCTTTCCCCATCTTCCCCTAATCCTCCTGGTATCTCTACTCTCCTTGTTGGCCCCGAGGGGTTTATCTATCCTGTATTCCCTATGTTGTGGGCTCTTATCTGTAGCAATGTGCATGCTCTGGTCTAATCTGATTTGTAAGGTAGCATTGAGGTCATGATAGTGGGGGGAAGGAAGCACCAAAGAGCTAAAGGAAAGTTGTGTGTTTCATCAGTGGCTCATCTCTTCCCTGTGACCCCTCTGTGAGGGGATGTCCAATTGTCTACAGATGGGCATTGGGTCTCCACTCCATGCCCTCCCCCCCCATTCACCTTGGGTATTGTTTTATTCTGGGTCTTAGATGCCTGATACCCGATCCTATCCATACCTCATGATCACACAGGCTGGTGTGCTTCTTCCACATGGGCTTTGTTGCTTCTCAGCTAGATGGCTGCTTGTTTATCTTCAAGCCTTTAAGACCCCAGATGCTATAACTTTTGATAGCAGGGCACCATCAGCTTTCTTCACCACATTTGCTTATGCACCCATTTTGTCTTCAGCAATTGTGTCGGGAAGGTAAGCATCATGGAATGCTCAATGGCCAATTTTTCAGATGGAGACCAACAGGCCTTTTTCCCAAAGTACCTCCGGTGGATTCAAACTTCCAAACTTTTGGTTAGTGGCTGACTGCTTTAACCATTTGCGTCCATCTAGAAAGGCCACTAATAGTCATGCCAAAGCTCAATAAACCAAACTCACTACCATCGAGTCAATTCTGATTCATAGCAACTGTGTAGGACAGAGTAAAACTACCCCTGTGGGTTTCTGTGACTGAATCTCCGTTGGTTTCAAACTGCTGACCTTGCTGTTAGCAGCCCAATGCGTAACCCACGATGCCACCAGAGCTCCTACAGTAATAATCAGAGCCCTGTTTAATGAACACATATCATGTACCAGATTCTATGCTAGATGGAGCTCCATCTAAACAAAAAACAGCTCATTGTCAGCGAGACAAAGCTGAGTCAGAGTGTCCCGCTGCGGATTTCTGAGACTGTAACTGCTTATAGGAACAGATGCTCAGCTTTTCTCCTGAAGAGCTGCTGTGGGCTCAGACTGCCAGCTTGTGGATGGCAGCTCCACTCACAGTCCCTGCACCACCGGGGCCCCAGGGACTGCATCGGCATCCCTTAGCCTGGGAAAGGGTGACCATTCTTATCATCATTTTAAGGCTGCAGAAATGAAGGAACATAATGATTAAAGTGCTCTTGTTAGTTGTCGTCACCTTTCCTTTCTTTGATTATATTTTCCCTTAAGTATTACAGACAATAGGCTAGAAGCTTTAAAGAAGTCAATAGCCAGCTCTCTCTTCCGTGCAGTCAATTTCTTTCACTTCGGTATTAGGAGCTGAGTCATACATTTGTGTCGATCTGTTTTAGAGGCAGGTGGATAGTATCCCATCACCGAGTGACTTCAGGATAGTTCTTGAAATATCCTTTCGGAGGATGGAGAACATGCCGTCCGCTTTCCATATGTCATTCTCAGCCTAGCGGGCCATGCGGATGTCTGAGCCACATCGTCCACGACTTGACTGTCATTTTATCGCCGCGCTGGGGGGACCTGAACGCTGCTGTGACGCTGGAAGCCCGGCCACCAGCATTTCAAACGCTAGCAGAGTCCCCGTGGTGGACTAGTGTCCGCAGAGCTCTCAGACTAACACAGACTAGATAGAGCACAGGACGTGGCAATCTATTTCTGATAAACATCAACCAGTTAAAACTTTATATATACACTTTTAAAAAATTGATTCACGGCCTTAAAATTATTCGTAAGACTTAAAAATTGAAACTATAGCTTTTCATTATAACCTCTCAAGATGAATTTTGGTTTAAATTCAGGTCATTGTCTCTGTCAAATGATCTTTTCCATGTCCAATCAATTTTCTCCAGTGCTCCATAAAATCCCCCCAAACCAAAAACTATCTTCCAACAAACATTTCAGAGTGAGAATAATGCCCCCTTTCTCACTAAGAATAATGCCATACGCCTTGCAGAGTTAAACCATCTTAGTGGGAAACAGAGGAGACACTTATTCTGAAAAGATAGCTCCACCTAAACTTTTAAAAAGAAGGGGCTATGGACGCTTAGATGCAACTGAAATCACCTTTTTCCTAACAACCTTTTACAGAGAATTTAGACTCACAAGTAAGCTTTTATAATCCACACTTGTCTATGACTGAGTATTATGTGCCTCTCAGGATGCTCAAAACAAGGTCAATGTGCAGTATCCCCACCCTCTTGTCCGTGCAGCCCCACCATCAGTACGCACGCTCCAGCTGCGTCCCCGTGGTCTGTTTCAGCACGCCCTCTACCTCTTGGTGCTTCATCCCCACCAAGCTGTTCTGCTTCTTTTCAACCAAACAAATGCTGTTATTTCAGGCATTTCTCTTCAGGACTTTCAGGGATGCTACTAATGAACCCATGACCAGTCCATCACTAATTTGCAATGGAGACGGGTTGGTGTGATCCTTTTCTGGGTCAGCACCATCTCTGTAACACCAACGATATCGTAAAGACAAGGTTTAATAGGCTCTTCAACAGGCTGCCTTTTCTGTTTCCTTTCCTGCATCCACTCTACACGGTGTGTTGACAATTTCCCTGTTAGTCTCTACAAGGAGTGCTTCCACAACTGTGGGAGGTATCTTTGCTGGTTAGGCATTAGGTGCTGTGTAAGCAGCTTTTTAACGGCTTTGCTGGTTCACTTCTCTCACCCATTTTAAAAAGCAAACCAGAAAAAAAAAAACTCATGTTCTTTCTTTTTCAATTTCCTTTTACATGTGCCTACGCTTTAATACAAAGAGCCCCAGTGGCATTGTTGGGTAAGCATTGGACTGCTAACTACAAGGTTGACAGTTCAAACTCAATGATCTCTCCACAGGAGAAAGATGAGGCTATTCACTCCCATAAATATTCTCAGCCTCAGAAACCCTATATGGCGTTTCTATGACTAAGAATCAATTGAAAGGCAGCAGATTTTGAGGCTTTAATTCCAGAGTCCCTGGGTGGCAAAGATGATTAAGTACCCAGCTACTAGCCAAACAGTCAGTGGTTCAAATCCACCCAGAGTCCTTTTGGAAGGCAGGCCTGGAGAGCGGCTTCTGGAAGGTCCCAGCCCTAATAGAAACCATGTGGAGCGTTCGGCTCGGCCACATTGGGTTGCCACGAGTAGGGATCTATTCTCCTCAATGGTAACGAACAGCAGCTCCATCCACGAACTGCAGTACATGTCGGTCTTCTTTCCCTCTCTCTCCTGGAGGTTGATATTTGTGTTCAGCAACCAGCATGGTTTCCGTCATGTCTTATTTGATGCTTCCACACAACCAAGACGTGTAGGCTGGGGAGAAGGACCAACATCGTGGTAGTACCTACTTAAAATGCGTAGTCAGAGTCCACGCCTAATTAGTCACAGTGTTGCTGGACTATTCCACTTGTGACTATGACGATTTTCCAGCGGGTCCCTTATTGTGGAAAAATAAAATGACTTTTAAAAAGAAATCGATGGAAGTGAAGCTACTTGTGGAGATTATAAGCTTCAGAAATTAACTTTTGAAGTCATCGGTAATTTAAGATTTGGATGAAGTTCAAAAATAAGCATCAAGGGATGACTTGAATGCTAAGTTTCACTTCATTTGGTGTTAACATGATGCAAAAGCAACAAAACGTAAAGATTGCTTTCACACATGTATGGAAGCTGATGGTAAAATCACATTTTGAAGCAATTTGTGGAGAACCACCTGGCTTCATCCTTCTTCATGTTAGGAAGGGTGCAGACAGGCTCCCCAAGAGAAGAGAAGCTTCGGACACAGGTGCAAACGGTTCCTTCCATCAGGGTAGGAAGGCATTGGTGGCTGGGGAAGAGATGCACCAGGGACGTAGGGTTCTGATGGAGTTCATTGATGCTGTGGACATAAATCACTTACACAATGCTTTAGCCATTCTGCTTTCTCTTCTATCCCCAGCTTCTCTTCATTCTTTCTCCAAATTCTCCAGCCAGCCACCCTAGCTACCAGGCTATGTGATCCTTTCTGATTAGGCAATTCCTTTTATGCGGATAAGTTTCTGTGTATACCAATATAAGTTTGTGTATGAGCATTCTTGTAAAATGTTCCGGCCCTTTCTTATCTGAACTTGTACTTGCCTCTGTTATATCGACTCTCACCTAGCAATGGGATCATTTAAATGCCCTTGACCCTCCCTAGGCTGTGAACCTTTAAAAATGAATGACCTTGTCTCACTCATCGGCCGTGTCCCCGAGTCAGCATTATTCATGATGTGTTTTTATTCTTCATGATCCCAGGATTCTAGTAAAAGCTTGTCTGAATTATGATTAAGGGAGATGGAATTCTATAAAGTGTGTGTGTGTGTGTGTGAATCTTGTTAATAATGAATCAGAGGATTATTGACTCCCAGAGTTGTATATAATTTATTCAGAAGAACAACTCCATCCCACACCACACCCCCACACCCACACACATCGTCACCACTATCGCCATTGCCATCACCTTCCATCTCAGGTTTAAATGTCTTTACCAAGTGCCTGCTGCGTTCTACCCACGGCCATACTCACGTGGCTCCATGCTTACCTTAGCCAGTGTGGACTCACCTCTGGGCTCACCATCATGTTTAGACTTGATCCATTTTGAATCATTCTCTCAAAGGGATCAGAACTAAAAGAAGACAAGGACTCTTAAAAAGAGCAAAAGGAAAGTTAACATTCACCAACAGCAATAAGCATAGTCCGAAGTGTAAAATATTTTTCGACCATGTGAATGAATAGTCTTACATAAGGCTTGTTCTGAAGCACACTACACTCTCTCTGCAGGACACAATGATCTCTCATAGTGAATTTGAGTGATAAGACTTTTCTTTTTGTTTGAATGTCTTCGTTTCTTGGCCTCTCTGTTCATCCATTTTTCCTTTCCCTCTACCAATGTCATAAAAATATGATGAAGGACTTTTTTCTTGGGCTATGCAATGCCAGTGGACTCAAACTCCTTTCATGGTAGGGAGCACTCGGGGTTTAAATTGTATTAAGTCAGTGTTTCAAAAAGTGGGTAATATCGCCCCATGGGGCGCTGGCATGTTCTGTGCAGGAGCTGCAGAAGCAGATACTACACTTTATTCTGGTTTATTCTGCTGTATTACAAAAGTGTTTAATTGCTAGGGGGTGCAGGGTAATTTTTATTTTTTTCTGAAAAGGGGGACATAAGCCAAATAAGCTTGGGAAACTGTGTACTAAATAGTATCGTCATGATTCAAAATTAATTGGCTTGCTATTCTCGCAACGTCATTTAATAAGAGAAATAGCTGGGTTGCATATCTTGAATTATTATTATTTTTTTTGCTTTTTGTCTATTCCTTGTTAGATTACAAGGCTTTTGAAGAGGCAGCTGAACACTTCCAGCCTTACATCAAATTTTTTGCCACCTTCAACAAAGGGGTGAGTACCAAGGAAAGTCCAATTTGAACACTTCTGAAGGCACAAAGGGATACATTTTGTAGATTTTTCATGTTTTCTTCCCCCCTCATTTTCTTTTATTATTGTTATCATTTTTTCTTTTCTTATTTCTCCAGAAGAATTAGAGAAATGGCAATTAAATCACTATTCAATGAGAGACGAGAACAAAATAGGACAGAGGACCTAAAGATAGTAGTTCTCAAAAGGCCCAATGAAAATTATTGACCGGCCTGTGGTCTTCTCATGCAGTCAGAGTAAGAAATGTGGGAGCACAGGTGTGCCGAGACACCGGTTCACTGCTTCTCTGATCTTGAGGGTGCACCCTCTCCCTTCTCAGGTTTGTTTCCTTCCACCTCTGCCCCGGATGGAGAATGGGACAGGGAAGAACATGAGGCATTGAGGACTCCAGGAAGCACCTCCCTCTGCAGGCATCTTTGCTGCCCTTTCCTTTCGTTCCATGTTTCTTTCCATTCCGGATATGGCCAGTTCTTTCCCAAGAGAAAGAACAGCAGACACAGAGGTACCCTGAATCCATGGCTAATTTATCTGGGGCTCCTGTGGACAGAATGTTCTATCCTCGCTCCAGTTAGTAGTGCCGTGGTTACGGTGTACTGGATGCTTTCTGTGTGTGAGCACTGTGAAATGGAGTGCATCCATGTGATGGTTAATCCTTTTAAACAACTCTGACAGGGGATCAGTCTTCACCCCCACCTCGCATAGGAGAAGTTAGACTCGAGGGGTTAAGGGGTATAGAAAGTCTCCAGAGAATGAATAGGAGCCCCGAAGTTCTGATTTAGGACAACCTGAGTCCCCAGACGGTGGCATTTATTATAGAAGACTTTACACCTGCCCTCAGGCGCCCTGGTGGCTTAGTGGGTAATGTGTTGAGATGCTGAATAGTTGGAAGCCCCCAGCTGCTGCTCAGGAGAAAGAGGAGGCTTTCTACGACGCTACAGAATTACAGTCTTGGAAACCCACAGATGCAGTGCTACCCTGTCCTGTAGGGTCGCTATGAGTCGGAATCCACACGATAGCCGTGAGTTTGGCTTGGTTTTTTGGATACCTGTCCTTAAGATTTAAAACTTGCCCTTACCCTTCACCTTCCCCTCCCCCCCCACCCCTGCCTCCACCCAACTGAATTCACCATCTTTGCTAGAACAAATCAACCTAGAGCAAACTAAGTCTTTGAGTCAAGTCAAGTAAAAGTTCATCAGAGAGTGGCCTACTAAGGAGTAAGCCCATGACTAGCAGTGCTCAAGGGCCCACATGCTATGAAGATCCCGAGACTGTGCACAAAGGAAGAAGCAGCCTCGGTGCTGGAGCAGGGAAGGAACTTGATGAAAGAACTCAAGTTCAATCCACATCACCCTTGAGCCTCTTCAGTGAGCGTGGTCCCTGTCTTCAAGCCTATAACTTAGAGGGGTGGGGGTTAGTCTGGGTTGACTAGAGAAACAAGTCCCGAGAGACTCATATATGAATAAGAGAGAGTTTTATAGAAAGGGTAATTGTACATTAAGAAAGCATCCCAATCCACTCCAGTCCAAGCCCATAAGTCCAATATTAGCCCATATGTCTGATACCAATCTATAAAGTCCTCTTCAGACTTGTCAAACACATGTAATGACACCGAATGCAGGATGATCACAGGCCAGTGGGTAGAAAGTCTTTGGATCCAGTGGCATTGTAAGCATCTCAGCGCTGGCAGGGGTCTCTACGTGGCTTCTCCAGTTCCTTAGGGCATGGGGTCTATCATCTTAGTATCATGTGTCTTGTCAGGTCCTGTCAGTAGAGCATCGTCTCAGGGAGTGAACAGAGAGAGCGGTGGTGTCTCCTGCCTCCAAGGAGGAAAATCAGGATTTCCCAGAATTCTCAAGAGAAGGCCATGACCACACAGAGGCCTTATAGGCGATGGTCTGATTGACAGAGCAGACTCCACACCTTTACTCTTAATCCTCTCAAGTCCCAAATTGACACCAGATTATGTAACTACCACAGGTGCATTTAAGTAGTGCTGAAGAACATTTACTCTAATTGGTTGTATTTGAAATCTTGAGCCAGAATCCAGAAGAGTGATAACTCTTATTTATTAAGCACATCCCATATGCCGGGCTCTGTGCTAACACTTTTGTGTAGGTTTTCTCATGGCATTCTTTCAACACCTCCCTAAGAGAGGGGTTAGTACTCACCTTCTACAGAGGATGGAACGGAGGCACTTGGAGTTGAAAGACTTGCTCAGGACCACCTAGCCAGTGACTATTTAAGCTTGATTGAATCACAGCTTACCTGACTACCAAGCCAATGTTCTGTATTACAACATTTCAGAGAAAGTTTATAATAATATACACAAACTGCTCAGCAAGTAGTGAGCACAGTAAATGTTTGCTAGTTATTAATATTGTTAATAAGAAGTCAGTCTTCTGGAGCCGGGGGAGAGAGGTTGGGTATAATACCAGCGGAAAGGGGGCGGTAAGCGGAAATCTAAAGTGAGCCCATCGCTGACATTTAGTCATGAGGGCCAGCAGTGACTGAGGTGGCTCCGGGGTAGGAATTCATCTGAAGAGAAGAGAGCCAGGCAGCCAAGCCTTGTCAATCAGCACAGCCTTAGCTCTTAGAGGGAGGGTCCGCTTCTGAATTTAGGGTGGTGTCTGTTCTCAGGAGCGCCTCCCAACCCAACCATAAGGCTTCGTGTCTGTGGCTCATGAAGAAGGTGAGGTCAGGCTACAATTAAAAACTCTAAAGCCGGCCTCACTTAAAACTTGGTAAGACACTGAATCATAAGTGTCATTACTCTGCATGTAGATGGAGGGCCTGTTGCACTGAGAGCACTCCAGTGCCATTTGGGACTTGAGAACTTGCACCCATAGTGGGGCATAGTCAACAAGGTTCTACAGGACATGTGGCGTCCCGAAGGCAAGGCTGCATCTGGTGAAAGCCGCAGTGGTGTCTAGTAAGAGGTGCAAGAGATGCTATCATGGGGTGCTGACCGGTGAAGATCATCTGTAAGACACTTCCTAGGGGATCCTAGAGGGGCCTGGGAGGAGGAAGTGCTTTGTAGAAGTTTGTAATCTGGTGAGACAAGGGTCAAGAAAGGACTAGCTGCAGTCAGAAAGCTGCGGTCAGGGGCTGGGGCAGCCCAGCAGAGGATATGCTGATAAGAAGCCTGACCACTGAGGAGACGAAAGAAGAGAGACTCGGAAATCGTTTAGGTTCCCAGCCTCAGCTTCAAGGCACCAAAGACTGTAACGCTACTGAAAACATGGCATAAAGTGTGGTGATGAGTCCTATTTTCTGCAACCGGAGGTTCTTTTATTCAATCATTCACTCACCAAAAGTTTACAGAGTGGCGTTCCCATGCTGGGCACTGGTCTACGTGGTTGGACACAACACAGAGCAAAGCAGATTCCTGCTCTTGTAGAATTTAGAGCAAATAAGTAAGCAAACCAATAAATATCTGGGTTGGAGAAATGTAAAGAGAACGAGAAGTCAGGCTTGCTGTATCAATTTGGGAGTCGGTTTGGGATACTAGCCTACCCAAAGGAGCTTATGGAACTATGGGTTTCAGGGCCCCATCCCTGGAAATTTGGGTTCTTAGGGTGTGCCGTGGCCCAGGAATCTGCATTTTCAACAAAACCTCCCAGGTGATATTCCTGGGCACAGCCGAAATCTACTGTTCCTGATCCTAGGTCAACCCACACAAGGGTCCAATCTTTGTAATGAGCGCTTGGAGCTGGGGATGGTCAGACTGTCTAACGTGTAATCCACTACACCATTGGGTCTCCTTCCCACCCCCGTAAAAGTGGAAAAAAGCATGTCTCCATGCCTCTCAAAACATACTTAGTAAGACAACAAACTCGTCCTTGTCTGACTAGTCTGCTCTGTCGGATGCTGGAGTTTTTATCCTGAAAGCACTGTAAGGAATAAGACAACAAAACGTTGATTCAAACGCACAGTAACCCTTACAGGACAGAGTAGAACTCTCCCCATAGGGTTTCCAAGGCTGCAAATCCTTCTGGAAACAGGCTGCCTCGTCTTTCTCCCACAGAGTGGGCTGGTGGGTTCAACCAGTTAGCATCGTGGCGTGGAATTCATACCCTGTGATATCAAGCTGGCACCAACGCACAGTACTTTCTTCCGGCTAGACCTCTTTGTGCAACTGCTTGTGTACCTTGCACTCCTCCCTTTCCCAATTAGCCACGCTGCCCTGGGCCACGGCACCCTTGGTTACAACCACGGCACCCTTGGTTACAACCACAAAGGCAATCCCTCTTCAGTTTCAAGGGAACCACTGTTCATGCCTGTGCTCTCTTGGACCACAGCTCTGAACCAGAAAAGAATGGCATCTGGTTTTCTATAGCGCTTTGCACATTCCAGGCCTCTCACATCATGTCACCAAGAGAGCTCTGCAGGCAAACAGCACCCATTCCTCCCTGACAACTGGCGTTGAGGTCACTTTATCAAGAGAAGCAATGCCTTCCGTCTATGACTGCTTTGCCTGAGACTTGCCTGGGTTAGCACTGAGGGTCCTGTGTCCCAGGACACCCTCGGTTCAGGGCCAACTGTGGCTGTTGGCCACCTTATGACGAATAATAAGAGTTGTTTAGCTGCAAACTGGCTAGTTGCCAACAGCTGACAAATCACCGAGCCAACCCATCATGGGAACATTTAACCCCAGGGCCAGAGCTTCAGCCTAAATAACAATTAGCGTTTATGAGCTGATCAAGGACAGGAGCATGGTTTAGCCTCTGATTTTGAGTACTTGTTCTACAAATTGGTTCAAATTCACACATTTTATTGGGATGCGCTTCCCTCTTCAGCCCTGCCAAATCCCATGGAATCATGGTGATGATAGAAGTAAAGGGTTCCCTTTCCAGTTCAGCTGCTCCCTGCTCTTGCTTGGTCCTCATCTACCAGATATATTGATTTCTTCCTTCTGTCATTCTTTGAACACAAAAGAAAGGCCACTCCAGCCCAGGCCTCATGCGATGAACTCCGATCACCTCAATATTGACGCTGAAGCTGTTCCTGCAGTCTCACAGTCATTCTGCAGCACACACACACACACACACACACACACACAGAGCTCTGAGATGGTGTCTCTAAATTAGCATCAATATCTAATTCTCACAGGTTGCAAAGAAACTGTCTTTGAAGATGAACGAGGTTGACTTCTACGAGCCATTTATGGACGAGCCCATTGTCATTCCCGACAAACCTTACACTGAAGAGGAGCTCGTGGAGTTCGTGAAAGAGCATCAAAGGTGCTGACGTGACGCGCATGGCTTAGCGGTGACTGGGGCTTGGGGAATGTAGGCGATTCTCTCAGTCCTAATGTGGCAAGCTCACCAAGAGCTGCAGTCTGGAGTTCGCATCACAGCAGAATTGAGGTCAACAGTAGGTCTTTTTGTTCAGTGATAACCCGACCATGAAGGTTACTAAATTTTCTGACCTTTTGCTTGCAGCCATGGTTAAAACGCTTTACCCCAGTCAACAAATCCCATCAAAGTTATAGCCAGATAGAGGTAGATTCTGCAATCCTAATGTTAACGGTTTAGTAAAAGCCTCCTATGCCAAATGCCATATAAAGTGTTTTATCTAAGCTTTCGTTTTACTGGGTCATTGTTATGATCAGTCTCAGAAACTCACAGGGGGCCGTTCTACTGTACGCCAGGGTCGATATCAACTCCACGGCAGTGACTTTGAGTGCTATGGTTGCTATCCTACTGCTCCAATACCGAAGCCACTAAGAAGGCCCTGCTCTCCTTAGAAATATGTCACACTCCACATTTCTTGTCCCCTTTGAGTTTGTTTTGGTTTTATTATTATCCCAATTTTATCGATTAAGGAATTAGTCTCAGAGAAGTTAAGTCACTTCTCCAAAGACAAACATTCTCTACCGAGAACTTCCTAAAGGAAAGGGAGTATTTGAAACCACTTAGAGCAGCTCTAAGGAATGGAGCGAATCTCTGGGGACGGCCCTAATGATGCACTTCTGACGTTTGGGGGCAGAAGCACCAAATCACCAAGGCTCCCCTATCTCCGTAGTCTCCACATTGTAGACCTGCTCTGGACTCTTGGGAGTGTACTTGTAAGGAAGGAAATGGCATTTGGCCCCCAAAGCGAGTTTCGTTGTATAGCCTCCTACCCATTGTTTGTTATAACTTTATAATCCTTGGCCTATGAAAGTATTCAAGGATGGAAGGCCATAGGCTGGCATGGTTGCTGGCACAGGTCTTTGTGTGAGAAATAGGGTACAGCACCTTCACCTCCTTTGGGGAGAAGTGGTTCCAAACAATCCATGTTCCTGGAAACAAAGCACTGTCTCATTTTTCACCATGTTCCCATGCACTCAGGCTGCACAGGCTGCCATGTGGTGGTGCCTGCTAAAGAAAGTTCTCTTTTTTATTTGCAGACCTACTCTGCGTCGCCTGCGCCCAGAGGACATGTTCGAAACATGGGTAAGGAGATAGCAAACTCTTTCTGCTGTAGGGAGGTGCGTGTGTTCCCCAGGAGAGGTGCCCTTTGGACTAAGTCCTATGTTCAAATAAGTCTTATTGTCGGGGCGAATGTTGGAATGGTACAGTCGTTGAAACATGGTTAGCATCATACTCAATTACAAGCCAGTTAGCCATGGTGTCAGCTTAAGCCTCTTTGATACTACCCACAAACAAAATTATTCTGTTCCTGAGGTCATTTTCCAAAGTGACTACCGGCTTCCACTCACTGACCACCAGTGACCCAAGGCCACAAAGTAGAAGGAGCTCCGAGTGTGAACTCTTAGAGATCTGAGCTCTAATCTGAAATCTGCTACTTTGTCAGCTCTGTGTCCTGTAGTAAGAATATGGTATGAGCTTTAATATCCCCACCCGAAACTTGGGCTTTTCAAAGAGCTCAAGCATTTGGTCACTTAGTGGCTGTGCACGGGCTGATAGTCAAGAGTCAGTAGTTTGAAAGCATCAGCCATTCCATGCGAGAAAGATGAGGCTTTCTACTCCTGTAAAGAGTTACAGTCTCAGAAATCCAGAGGGGCAGTTCTACCCTGTCCTATAGAGTTGCTATGAGTCAGCATTGACTCGACTTTGAATTTGGTTTAGGTTTGGAATGCATTGGGGGGGGGGGTGATCAATTAATGAATGGTAGCTGTTTCAAGAATATCAACTCAAGGCCCTGAGTGTGGGCTTCTAGTTCTATGTCACTAAACAGTATGTCCAGAGAGTCCAATGCTCTTAGAAAGAAGGCCTTAAAGATAACTCACTATACCCTCACTCCACCTCACACACACTTCATACAAAATCGCGTAATCACTGACAATATAAATCTGTGGGGGATTTTCCAAAGCATTCCATTCAACCTTCTGCTTGGACTTTTCAATCCCTCTAGCAAGCAATCTAGAACAAGTAGTGTTTTCATCCCATTTTATAGATGGGGAAACACTATCGTATAACAGACCAGACCCAATGCCTTTGAGTCAACTCTGTTTCATAGAGACCCTACACTGTAAAGCTTTATGGAGGCGGATAGCCTCATCTTTCTCTCATAGAGGGGCTGGTGGATTTGAACTGCTGACCTTGGGGTTGGCAGCCCAATACTGACCTGACAGTTCCATTAAGGCTCCTTGACTATCATGTGAACTAAGTTCATTACTCCAGAATGCAAGCACTTCTTTGGGGGACTTAAATTAAGGCCACTTGGCACTAAAGCTCATGTTCTTTATGCCTATATTGGGTCATGTTGCTGCAGGGCACCACTTGGAGGGGGTGGGGTAGGAGCAAAAGGGACTGGCAGAGAAGCATTCTTTAACTCAGTGTGAAGTGAGGCGTGCTAGGATACATGGAGTACCTGGATTCTTGCTGTGTTCTTGGCATGTAACTTAGTTGGAGGTCTGAAGGCAGGACAAACATCTCACAAGACCCTGCAGAACAAATCATTCAAACTAGAGAAAGAAACGATTTGACAATCATCCAGCATAATATAAACATACTTTCTTCACATTTAAACCATTTAAAAAATGCAAAGCTTGAAGAGCTAGTCTTAGATTTTAAGCAATAATTTCTTAAAGGTTATAACAGTGCTTTAAAAATAATACCCCCCCAAAATAATACTCCCTTTCACTTTTTTCTTTTTTTAAAAACCTTTTTAATGATTTAAAACGTTACAGAGTAAATTGGTTTTCCATTCAACAATTTATACATTGATTGCAGTCCCCGAGATGTACCAGCCTTCTTCCCACTTCCGCCCTCCCTGAGTTTTTATACTATTCATCCTTCTTTCCTGGTCCTTCTTGCTTTCAACAGTTTTTATCCATAAGCAAATGCTGTCCTTTTGATTTAGTAAGATTGATTCTTCCAAGGAGTGTATTCCTCTCAGATGTTATTCTCCCCTCCGAGTCGGTATATTGTGCTGAAAGCCGAGTCGGAGGAGTGAGTACAGGTCCAAGAGTGAAGAGTCGCTAAAGGCCATACATAATCTGGGGATTCCAAGCCTCCTTCAGACCAGTAAGCCTGACCTATTTCATGATTTGGGGGTTTGTTCCACTTTCTTCTCCCACTCGACTCAGGACCCTTCTGTGATCCATCTACTTCTTCTGGTCTCAGGGTTGTGGAGGCGGAGCTTCGCTGTGGTCAATTCATCCTCTGGATTAATTGTTCTTTAGTCTTATTTTATGGATAATAAATTCTTATCTTATTTATTCTGTGCTGTCTCCAGGGGGTAACAAAGAGCATGCAGGTGGGGCAGGTACAACTGTCATCTGGGTGGGCGCTGTACTGCTTGGTACAGCTGTGATCCAGAAACACCAGGTTCAGCTCGCTTTCGGGCACTGAAAGCTGGAAGAGCAATGAGGTACCATGCACCCTCTGGAAGTCTGGAAGGCCCTCTCCCCACTACGGTGGGCCATGTCAGTAGAGGGACAGCAATGTAGAACATGGGTCCCCATATGGTAAGTCACAATTGTCTGTTCCCACACTTGGCCCAGGCCAAACTCTAGCACCTCACCTCTTCCTTTGTTTTGAAAGCTTTGTTACACTAATGCCAATGAAAGGTTTTCTTTTCTTTTTTTTTTTTCTGAAAGGTTTTTTTTTTTTTTTTTAACATTTTATTAGGGGCTCATACAACTGTTATCCCAATCCATACACACATCAATTGTGTAAAGCGCATTTGTACATCGTTTCTCAAAACATTTTCTCTCCATTTAAACCCCCAACATTAGGTCCTCATTTTCCCCCTCCCTCCCCGCTCCCTCCTCCCTCATGAGCCCTTGATAGTTTATAAATGGGTATTTTGTCATATCTTGCCCTGTCCGATGTCTCCCTTCATCCACTTTTCGGTTGTCTGTCCCCCAGGGAGGAGGTCACACACAGTTCCATGTAATCGGTTCCCTCCTTCCTACCCATTCTCCCTTTACCCTCCCTGTTTTGCCACTCACACCACTGGTCCTATAGGGCTCATCCACCCTGGATTCCCTGGATTTTCAGTTCCTATCTGTACCAGTGTACCTCCTCTGGTCTAGCCAGACTTGCAAGATCGAATTCGAGTCATGGTAGTGGGAGCGGGGAGGAAACATTTAGGAACTAGAGGAAAGTTGTATTTTTCATCGTTGCTACATCACACCCTGACTGGCTCATCTCCTCCCCGAGACCCCTCATGCAAGGGGATCTCCAGTGGCCTACTAATGGGCTTTGGATCTCCACTCCGCTTGAAAGGTTTTCTTGTTGAGAATTTTCTCATGTTTAACGTGCCCTGACTTCCACATATCAGATTATCCACATTTAACTCATGCAAAGGGCTTCTTTCCTTTGTGAAATCTCTGATGTGCCTAAGGCATCACTTCTGGCTGGAAGCTTTACCACACTCACCACATGAAAGGTTTTTCTCCAGTGTGAATTCAGAGATGCGTTTTGAGATGTGCTTTCTGAATGAAGCCTTTGCCACATTCACCACATACACGGGGTTTCTCTCGCTCCAGGATGAGTTCGCTGATGAACAATGAGCTTATTCTTCCTGAGAAAGGCTTTTCCACATTCACTACATACACGGAGTTTCTCTTGCGTCTGAGTTCGCTGATGCTCAGTGAGCTCATTCTTGCAGATACCTTTCACTTTTTTCTACGTTGAAAGAATGTCAGACTTAGAAAAACAGTACAAATCATTTCATTGTTTGTAATGAATGGTCACATGCAATGAAGACATCACTATATCTTTACCCAGATGTCTCCACGTGATGTTCGCTATTCGACCTTTGCTGGTTGGCGCTCCGGCCCCCCTATATATACTATATATAGATGTATGTATATCTTTCCCCCTCAACTGTTTGAGAGCAAGTAGCGGACATAATTCCACTTTAACCCTAAGGGTTGTTATTGTTGTGAGGGACATGGAGTCAGTTCCTTCACATAGCGGCCTGTGCTGAACAGTGAGACATGGCCGGTCCAGAGCCATCCTCAATGGCTGTTATGCTTGAGTCCCTGGCTGCAGTCACTGTACCAATTCATCTCCTGCCGGGTCTTCCTCATTACCCTGTCCCTCTGCTATAGCAAGCGTGATGTCCCTCTCCAGGGATGGGTCTCTCTTGGTACGATGTCCCCAGGAAGGGAGACAAACCTCACCATCCTCACTGCTAAGGCGCAGAACGTTTTGTTCATTCTCGTATCAGTCCACTCACTATTCCTCACCCACACCATGATTCATGGCATCACTTCTCCCGTCTTCCTGATTCATTACCCACTTTTCGTGTACATAAGAAGGGTTTGGAACCACCATGGCTTGGGCCAGGCACACATGAGTCCTTAAAAGCGACATCTTCGCTTCATAACATGTTTAAGAAGTCTTTTGCACACGTTCCCAATGCAATTGTCTTCCTCCCATCCTGATGCCACATTCGTCATGTAGTCCAGTTTCTCAGCTAATGTGCTCAGCATGCAGACTGAACACACATGGTGGAAGGATACACCCCTGACACACACCTTTCCTGCTCTCCAACCCCACAGTAGCCTCTGGTTCTGCTCAGGTGGACTGCCCCTGATTCCATGCACAGATGCCAAATGACAGCAAGTAAGTGTTCCAGAATTCCCAGGCTTAACAATTTTAGCCAATGTCTTGGATTAGTCCATAGAACAGAGGTAAACTCGTGCCTGGCGTTTTTTTGGCTTTGAGATCAGACACATCTGACATCAGCAATGTTATCTCTTGCTCCATGTCCTCTTCTGAATCTGGCTGGAATTTTTGGCAGATCCCTGGTGATGCACTATTACCACCATTTTAGAATAATCAGCAACAAAGTTTTCCTTGAATGTGATATTAATGAGATTGTTACATAATTTCCACATTCTATTGGAATAGCTTTTTCTTTGTTTTGGGCATAAATATGAATCTCTTACAGATAGTTATATTCCACATCTTGGCATGGATGATGGAGCACTTTCAATGTCACATCTGTTTGTTGAAACATCTCAGTTGATAGT